AGGTGGATTCTTTGCCATCTGAGCCACCAGCGAAGCCGAGGTGCTGTTGAATAATGGTGCCTAAAACATGGCCCTTGCTTTCAAGGAGCATGCAGTCTTGTAACAGACAGGTGCTCAGCTAGTAAGAACAATAGTTATCAGTGCTCAGGGACAGATTCAAAAATGAAAGCATCTAAAATGCTTATGATCCAGTTTTGGTGATAAAATTAATGACATGTAAGTGTAAGATTTAGTTTTAAAATAAATACGTAATGATTGATTTATCCAAGTGACAGATTATGGAAGCTCTCAGTGAATGAGTCACCTTGGAAGCTATTAATTTGTTCCAAAAGAATGCAAATCCAGACACTATCTACAGAAGGAGGGAGTTTTTCTCTTATTACCTCATGGTTAGAGTTTGAATTTTGGCCAAAGGATAACACTGCCTAACTCGATTGCCTACCTTAATTATCAGCTCAAACGTCTTCTGTTTCAAGTACTCAGTCTGTCTTCAAAGAGCAAAGTTATACCTGTATTTAAGGAATTCAAAAGAATGTGCATCAATTTCTGAACGGAGTTTCTAACACATTTCAAAGATGCTTTAAGCAATAGCAGTGTCATTATAATAAATGATTACTTTGAAGAAGAGAACATTCATTTGGAAGGATAAATGCTGTTCCAACAGATTTTAAATGAATGTTCACACTTGATACTCATGACTTGAATAAACTTGAGAGAACCAACAGTGTAAGGCATGAATAATTACTCAAGAGACAACAGAGATGGCCCAGGAGGAAGGTGACATATATGTATGATTGACAAGGTTTTGATAGAATGAAAGGTCTGAACTTGCTGTTACGGCTTTATTTGAATAAAATGTGAGTTTGGTGAGTGGCAAGTTAGAAGCAGAGCTTAGAATTTACCCTGTTAAACTGGACTGTCCTAATAGAGACTAGTATGGGGTTTTCTTTTCTGGATTTTTCAATGGAAGGATAGCAGTCATTCTTGGATTGCTTAACCACAACCCCTCTTGGTGGCAGACAGGAACCAGGTGACCTCAGGAAGACCTGGACCTTGTTCTACCCTGGGCCATCCTGGGCCTCTGGCCTCTGGCCTACTTGCAGATTTAGAAATGGCCAGGCCCCACAGGTGTGGGAGCCAATTCCTTAAACTAAGTCTCTCTGTACACACACACACTGTTGGTTCTGTTTCTCTAGAGAGCCCTTAATAACACAGAGTCCATCACAGAAGTTGAGGAAATGTTTTACAAGGTAATCAATCAGCTAAAAGAGAAATGGCAATTTTTTTTTTTTTACATGAAAAGACTTGAGTAAAAATAAAAGCATTGCATACCACATAGTAACAGGAAGTCTTTTGCCCAAATATAACAAGCAAGTCAGAAAAACCCCACTCATCATATTGGTACCCAAAGCACTTGGCATCACTGAAGAATATCTGTGACCTTCTCTGGGCTTTTGGAAGCAGCCACCAACCGAGTCTCCCACCAACTCTTTCCCACTCCTTCTCACTCCAAACTCACATCTCATGTTAACCGAAGCAGAGCTTCTCAGGCTGGAATGTGCCCTGGAATCTCTTGAGGGTGAGGCTGCAGATCCTGATCTAGGAGATCCGGATGGAGCCTGAGCATCTGTGTTTCTAACAAGCTGCCAGGTGATGCCAAGGCTGCTGGTCCTGGGACAAGGCTCTAGATCTATCCATCTCAAATGTTGTGAATCACCTGCGGGTCTTATTAGAAAAGCAGAATCTTACCCTCTCCCCACCCTCTGCCCTGACTTGCTGACTCAGAACCCGTGTCCTCACCAGATGCCCAGGTGGTGACAGACATGGTCCGTTTGGGGACCACTTCCTGGCACATCTACTTCCTCCAGGCTGGGGCCGCATCCACCCTCCCTGGAGGGTCAAGTTCTCTCTCGCGGCTCCTTGGCCTTGGCCTATGAACTTGGTTACTCTTCTCTCCTCTCAAGTAATAACCCTCTACCTGACCTGTTCCCTCTTCCCCCGCTACACTCTCTTCTCTTACATGGACAAAATTCAAGTGTTCTTTCCTTGATGTCTCCTCCCTCCACCACCCACGCCTGTCCTTACTTCTTCATCTCATGCTTCTTCTGTACGTGTGTGTGGCAGACAGAAATTGATTGTAATCCTTTAAATTAGGAATAACCAATTAACCTTTAACCCATTCGCTGCAACTACTCTCAACTGGTTTTGTGTGTGTGCCAAGTCACTTCAGTCGTGTCTGACTCTTTGCGACCGCATGGACTGTGGCCGGAGAGAATCCTCCGTCCGTGGGATTCTCTAGGGAAGGATACTGGAGTAGGTTGCCATTTCCTTCTCCAGGGGATCTTCCTGACCCAGGGAACGAACCTGCCTCTCTTATGTCTCCTGCATTGGCAGGTGGGTTCTTTACCACTAGCACCACCTGGGAAGCCCCCATTTGGTTTTGATCAATTCAAAACTCTTTCAAAGGCGTATTGGAAGACTCGATGTCTTAGTTTCTGTGTGATTGACTCACTTTGGCAGGGGATATGGAACCTTGCCTCTCTTACTCCTAGAAAAGAGGATTTACTTAAACTGCCGACCTGACCCTTCATGCTGTTGCCTAATCCACTTCAGTGCACTCTCCTCGCATTCAGGTGGAGCCCAAGTTTCCCAGAGTGGCTGCTGGGCCTTCTGCTAGGCTCTCCCCCTCATCTTCCACAGAAAGGCAACACCTAGTTCTCAGGGGTTTTGAAGGATGCAAGCCGTTCCTGGCTTCTGGGACCTCACTCAGTCTTTGGGTGCCACTCCCTCTTCAGCTGGTTGCCTTCTGAGCACCCTTGGAAGCTTGTTCAGTCATTCAATCGTGTCTGACTCTTTGCAACACCATGGACCGCAGTACACCAGGCTTCCCTGTCTTTCACTGTCTCCTGGAGTTTGCTCAGACTCATATCCATTGAGTCAGTGATGCCATCCAACCATCTCATCCTCTGTCACCCCTTCTCCTCCTCCCTTCAATCTTTCCCAGCATCAGCATCTTTTCCCGTGAGTTGGCTCTTCCCATCAGGTGGCCAAAGTATTGGAGCTTCAGCCTCAGCATCAGTTCTTCCAATGAATATCCAGGGTTGATTTCCTTTAGGATGGACTGGTTTGATCTTACTCTCCAAGTGAGCTCAGTTCAGGAAATTCCTTTTAGGTTGTTTTCACTGTGTCCCACACACCCACCCACCCCAAAGTTCCAGTAATAACCCTTAGTGCCTCTAACATACATCATATGGCTCACTTCCGGTGCTCAGTCAGTATCTGCTAAGGGAAAGAAGGGAAATGTTTCTACTTAATCCTTGAACGGAGTTGCCTCAAGTGAAAGTGAAATTGAAGTCACTCAGTCATGTCCGACTCTCTGCGACCCCATGGACTGTAGCCTATCAGGCTCCTCTGTCCATGGGATTTTCCAGGCAAGAATACTGGAGTGAGTTACCATTTCCTTCTCCAGGAGAACTTCCCGACCCAGCGTTTGAACCAGGGTCTCCCGCATTGTTGGCAGACGCTTTACCATCTGAGCCACCAGGGAAGTCTCTAGTTGCCTCAAGGAACCCAAATTCAAAGGCAAGAAGAGCACTGTACTGCTCACAATGAAATGGACCTATGAGAACCATCCATTTTGAAGCAGAAATGAAAGACTACAAAAAGGAATGAAGATCAGAAGAGCAATAAGACAAAAGAGCAATAGCATAGGTGTGTATGGCTTTACGATTTATAAAGTATCGTTAGAATTATTCGTTTTTACAGCCCATTGAGGTGGATACTCATATATTCACTTTACAGATAAGGAAGCTGAGACTTGGAGCTGTATCTGCTTTATGCCCAAGGCCCCCAGGTAAAAGCTGACAGATCTTCTGCCTCTCAATTCAGCGTGTACCCAACCCATCCCACCCCTTGCCCATTTCACAGCTTGCCTAGGAGAAGACAAACATAAGATATTAATAAAAATTCACTTTTAAAATTCTATATACCCACTGCTCTATTTTTAAAATGTACCTCTTTTAAATTATACTATGCTAATGAGCTCTATTTCCAGACAGTAATCTGTTATTGGGTGTTACTTGCTTAATTTAGACTCCACTACTAAATCTTAATTTAGATGCATTCCTTCTAATAACATCGACAGAAGTCTGTGTGTCCCACCATTCATTGCAACAAATTTCAGAGTCTAAATGTGTTATATTCATTCCATTACATGGATGAGACTCTACTCTCAGAAAATTCTTGTTTAGCACTTCATTTTTAGGGTAAAAATGAACTTTTTTAGCACTTGCATGTAAACATGTTTATCTAAGGTCTGTGTTAGAATAACTCCATGAAAGGATAAGGGATTGTCATAAATTGCTTTTTAAACATGGAGCTGGCAGTCTCCAATGCATATTTACTGTTTTCTCTTTGAACCAAAGTGGGTAACACATGCTAAGTAACTTTAGTCACATCCGACTCTTTGCAACCCCTGGATTGTAGCCTTCCAGGCTCCTCCATCCATGGACTTCTCCACGCAGAATATTGGAGCGGGTAGTCATTCCCTTCTCCAGAGGTCTTCCTGACCCAGGGATTGAACCCAAGGCTTTGACATCTCCTGTAGTGGCAGTCACGTTCTTTACCACTAGCGCCACCTAGGGAAGTGCTAAATGGGTAATGATAGGGAAAGTCTCTCAGTCATGTCTGACTCCTTTCCACCCCATGGACTATACAGTCCATGGAATTCTCCAGGCCAGAATACGGAGTGGGTAGCCTTTCCCTTCTCCAGGGGATCTTCCCAACCCAGGTGTAGAACACAGACCTCCCTCATTGCAGGCAGATTCTTTACCAGGTAAGGAAGTGGGTAATAGCTGTATCCTAACAGCTATTGGAGACAGTAATGGAGACATTCAGTATTACTAAACAGCTAGTATGTACCAGATTACCAGGTAGCTGCCAATAATATAAGACCCTCTTACATGCTGTGAAAATGCTAACATACCTGGGGGAGAGAGACACAGTCCAATCTGTGGGGACAGAAGAATAGTTAAATCAACAAGTACAAAACACGGGTTTTGGTGCCAGGAACGTGGCCTGGTGAGGAGAATGGGGTCTCACACATCCCTGCTCAGTCCTCTTTCCAAGCACACTTTCCACCTTCCCACTGTCCCCTAATTCCTGTGCCAGGGTCACCCGTTTGATAGCATGGAGTTATCTCAGAGACTCTGGCTCGAGTTCCACTGACACACATGACTTGCGATTTTGTCTTCTTGCTCGATTCCTACTTCCTCTTGCTCAGATCCTGCAAGATCCCTGACAACTTAGCCTTCATTCGCTTAAGCCGAAAACTGTGCAAAGATGAACATCTGCAGTTAAAGTTGGACAACATTACTTTCTTTTCAGTCTAATTCCCTTTTGCTCCTCTCCCCAAATGTCTGACGGTGCTCAGGAAAGCTCATTGCATGAATAACACAAATACACAAAAGTAAGGTATCCATGGCACCAGAAACACATCTTTTTTATCATCGCACAGGGTCATCAGCCGGCCTGGGGAAGAGCTCAGCACCTCGGTGCACCGGGGATGAGCTGTCGGGAACCTCCTGCGTCTCCATGGCGACGCGTCACAAAACAGGCTCCACCGCAGCACCCAGTCGAGCTGGTGGAAAGCGCCTCGCAACGACGGTCTCTTGGAGCAAGAATGGCAGAGCCTGGGCCGGAAGATGCGTGCCCTTCTCAATATGGCAACAAGAGACGGCCAAGTAAGCCTGCGGACCCTGCCAAGCTGGCCCGGCGAGGTTCGGGGGCGGGGTCTCTCCTGGAGCTGGGGTACCTAGGGCGAAGGCGCCTAGGTCTTCAAGATGCCGCGCTTTTATGGATGGAACTCAATTTAAATAGAGGCTGGAAATTCGGAGAGAATGAAAGGGCGTTCCCGACCTTGCCTCTCCCCAGACCTTCGCCCTAACTCCTGCCAAACCCTTCCCTAAAAGGGCTCAGTTGTTTAAACGCCCGGCGAAATGCCCAGGAGGGTACCAGGGAAAGGGAGGACTGACGCCTTTGGGAGAACAAGGCTAAAGACAAAGACGGAACGACGGTGGGGCGCTCTGAAAAGAGCAGACCCAGGGGGAGCCCTGATCCCAGGCAGGATCTGAGAAACAGCCCAGACAGGGGGGCAGGGCTGAAGAAGGCTGAGACGCGACCCCCAGGCGCAGAGGCTGGGAACTAGGGCCCTTGGTGCTCGCTTCTAATCTTCGCTTCCCTTTCTTTCAAAGGGATTTTGTATCTAACAGAAGCAGCGCTTTTAATACTAATTCTGCATGCAAATGCCGCGGGTTTACTAACTCAGCTTTTTGTGTCGGTGGAGGGAGAGGCGCTCTAGCTGTGATGCTAGTGGCATGATTACTGTGTAGTCAGCTCCATCCTGGCCTTTCTCGTGGCAATAATAACCCACTGCAGCCCTCTGGCTGGGTAATTGTGGTCCCCTGGTGGCTCCAGAGCAGTGGGGATTGTTCAACTGTAAATTCCCTAGGATTGCACTCCCCGGGAGAATGAATGAAATGCATACTTTCATCCCATTCATCCCTTTGTAAATTACATATAGCAGATGAAAAAAAAAAAATTAATACAAAAATATTTACAACGCCGAGTTTCTCTGTGGTGTCCAGGCAAACAGGAGAGGNGGGGGGGGGGGGGGGGGGGGGGGAGTTGCTCCTCCCCAGGATCTCCCGCTTTGCATTCCCCTTGAATCTCGTCTCCCTATCTAGCCACCCTGTCTTGGTTTCTTTCACTGTCTGCTCTCCCCTCTCTTGTCTGGGAATGTTGTGATCCTCCAAGGTGAATCCCTCTTGGTTTACATACTACTGAGTGGCCACATCCTGACACAGGGCTTCAAGTCTACACAGAGCTGCCAATTCATGGCTCTCTAATCTTTAGCTCATAAACTCCTCCTCAATCTCAGACCAAAATATCCATCTGTCTGCCACATGCCTTTGGGTGTCACAGGAGGGCCTCAGACTCATGTACAAAATTATACTCCTTGTCCTCCTAGACTCAGAAGTGCAGAGAGGAGGGTCTCAGATGCTCAAAGTTGAGGGGAGGGCACCGACACCTCAAGGTCATCACCAGGTCTCATTGATTCTGCCTCCAAAGTGCCTCTTCCCCTGGGGGAGTTTGCCCCTTCACACCCAGTCTCAAATCTCTAATAGTCACTCTGTGCTGCTCCATCTTCCACTGCTGGATCACCCTCCAAAAGGTGGGTCTGATCTCAAAATAGGATGAGGTTGATAATGACCACCGTGGGCTGATTGCTATCAAACTATTACTATTGACTGGGCTCTTAAGTGCTGTATTTGTTCCAAGGGCTATCACAAATTAACATGAACAGGTGGCTGAAAACAACCAAAATTTATTTTCTTACATTTTGGAGACCAGAAGCCTGAAATCAAGCTATTGACTTGGCTACCCCCTCTGGTGGCTTCTGGGGAGAATCCTGCCTTGCGTCTTCCAGCTTCTGGTGGCTGTTGGCACTCTTGACCTGTGGCCCCATCACTCCAGTCTTGGCCTGCATGTTCACAATGGCCTCCTCAACCCCTCTGCCTCTCTCTTATGAGGATGTTGAAATTGCATTTAGGGTCCAACAGATAATCCAGGATGTTCCTCACCTCACATCCTTACTTGCATCTGCCAAGAGTAATAGGGCCTAGGTTGGTGTTGCTTGCTTAGGAAAAAATTTCCTGATTTCTCTAAGAGTCAAACTCAGAGCTTCAAATCAGGCTCAGTGATGGTTCTTTAGAGAGCAACACCGCCTCACAGTTTCTCCCCACTTACTTGTCCGTGCTTGAAATTCTCTCAACAAAGAGCATTAATTCTGCAATTGGAATAAAATGCTTTAAAGTGTAAAGTGATCCCCACTAAAGCAGGAGAATCAAAGGATAATGTCATTTCTAGTATGACGGGATCAGAGAGTAGACAGGAGTCTGCAAGCAGAGGGACAAGAGCATGACAGGCAGGGGCTAAGCCTTCATTAGACTAGGGGAGCCTCAGGTGGAGGTGAAACTCACCAAATGTGAAGGGATCATTTCACCCAGGTGCTGGTGAAATGTAAAAAGCCACAGGTAACTGCCAAGATATGAAGGAGTGAATGACCACTGAATTGAAGTTTATAACTATATTCCCAAGTAATTTGGTGGTACTTCGTTGGCAATGAGAGGTTGGGCAGATCAGTCCTAGGGTCTGCCAAGGCGGGAGACCTGAGTTTGATATCTGGGTTGGGAAGATCTGCTGGGGGAGAGCATGGCAGCCCAATCCAGTATTCTTGCCTGGAGAATCCCATGGACAGAGGAGCCTGGCAGGCTACAGTACATAGGGTCGAGAAGAATCGGATACGACTGAGTGGCTAAGCACAGCAGTGAATTCTCTGTTCACACTCTCCTGGGTCCGCCAGCAGCATCTGCCTTGTAGGTGGTCCCTCCCTCCTCCTGGAACCTCCTTTTTCCTTCCACCATCCACAGCCTCCTGGTTCTCTGCTCATCTCACACTCTTCTCAGCCTCCTTCTCCAGCTGCTCCTCATCTCCCAAACCTCTGACATTGGGCAGCCCTGGGCTTCAGCCTTCAGACGTTAGCTTTTCTAATGACACTCCATCCCTTGCTGAGCTCACCCACTCTCACGGCTTGAAAGAACATCTATACCATACAATGGGATTCCCTGGTGGCTCAGCTGGTAAAGAGTCTGCCTGCAATGCAGAAGACCCTAGCTCGATCCCTGGGTCAGGAAGATGCCCTGGAGAAGGAAATAGCAACCCACTCCAGTATTCTTGCCTGGAAAATCCCATGGATGGAGGAGCCTGGTGGGCTATAGTCCATGGGGTCGCAAAGAGTTGGGCACAACTGAGTGACTTCACCATACCATACAATCTTGCACAGTCATTACAAAGAATGAATTGGAGCTGCACCAGACGAATTGGAGGGATTTTCATATCATGCTATTAAGTGACAGATAGAAGAGATACACAAAGGTTACTTTGTGTAGGATAAGCCTCTTTTTGTAAAACAAAATAGGACTAAAACCCAATACATTGGGATTTCCCTTGCAGTCCAGTGGTTAAGACTCCACACTTCCAAGGCAGGAGGCACGGGTTTGATTCCTGGCCAGGGAACTAGACCCCACATGCCATGTCATATAGCCAAAAAATTAAAAATAAATAAAGAATAGGGGAAATTTAAAAAATAAAATATTTTACAAACCAGTTTGATATACATATTTATCAATCTGTATATGATTATATCTGCTGGTCTGAAAGTCTGGAAAGAAACAGGCACAACTGTTAACATGGGGGGAGGGATGGGTGGAGGGTGAGGACAGCATGAGCAAGGAGTAAGGAGAAGGGGTCCAGGAGAATACCCGACATGCAAACTATGACCCCTTTTGTGTAAAATCAGTTCATGCACTTACAGATGTATCTAACATGATGCATGAAAAGTCAGGCATTAAAACAGTGATAGTATATTAAGATGATAGAATTTCAAATGAACTCCCTTTATATTTTTATGTACTGCTCAAGTTCTTGAAAACAGCCTATGTGAATTCTCAAGGAAAACAATAGACCTATTTGAGTAACTTAAAGAAGGGCTTCCCAGGTGGCTCAGTGGTAAAGTATCTGCCTGCCAACGTGGGAGACATGGGTTGGATCCCTGGGTCGGGAAGATTCCCTGGAGAAGGAAATGGCAAACTACTCCAGTATTATTGCCTAGGAAATCCTATGGACAGAGGAGTCTGGCGGGCTATAGTCCATTGGGTCTCAAAGGATCAGACACAGCTGAACACATTTTTATTTAGGGGGGAAACTCAGATGATTAAATTGAGCTTCCCTTCTTCCCTGGTGGAGCCCACAAGTTGGCCTTCATTCCTTTAGACTCTATATTACCACTCAAAATGTTTTTCTCTTGCAAAATTGCTCTAAGTATTGAAATAACATTTGATCAAAATATGCTGTCTGCCACATTTAAAACCATTTTATTGTGCTCTTAGCAGGTGATACCAGTTGGGATTCTTATGCCACCACAATGAGGACTGCATTCACACCTAAGACAGGAACAGCACCTGCTTTGTTTCGGTACATCCCTATTCATGCCAGATTGATGTACACACTTGACCTTGTTCACCTGTCTTTTATTATTCAGAGTCCAAAACTGATAGAGAGTAATCAGAGAATGCTTATAGAAAATGCATTCAGACAAGACCCAATGCACACACAGGTCTCCTCCAAGCATCAGAGAGGGTTTTCACCTTAAAACAGTATCCGAAGCCCCTATAGGGAGATTTAGAAATTTAATACATGGATCCTTCATAAAGCCACTGTGTGTCATGCTTTACAACAGACTCAGTATATAGTTAATATAATTGTGCTACCTAAACATGGAGCATGAATTGAGTCCATTACCTGGTTTACAGGAGGTAGGCAATAACAAATGAATGAATGGACAAGTGAGGAATTGTTAGCACTTCTACGCAACTGTAGTCTTAAAAGGTCGAACAAGGTCAAGGTCCGCTTTCCTTTACCTTCACCCCTCCAACTATTGGTTCCTAAAGCAATATTGCTTTGCAACTTCTCCCCAGCTCCACCTGAACCGAGGGTGGTGGGAATTTCTCTCCATCAGCTGCCCCTCTAAGCTCGTTGGTGGGTGAGCAAGGGTGGGGCTACCATCTTTCATTGCATCGGTGGTCGATGGGAAATCAGCATGGAGGTCCCTCCCTTGCCTGTATTTACTCTATAGATTGCTTCCAATGTAGAGGATCTTTTCACCTTAGAAGTGCACGTTGTTGAGAAGTCCAATGGAGTATTGGCCAGACTGCGGCAGTGCAGTCAGGCAGAAATGGGTTCTGAGCTGAACCTCAGTACCCTGTTCTAATTAACCCTTGTTTTCTCTGCTACCTTAGACAAGTAACAAGCCCAGTTTTACTTTGGCTAAAGGTTTTAAGGTTGGCAAAGTGGGAATGATGACTCGTAACTAACGTGTTTGTTCTGAGGACAAGTTGAACATATTAGTCTCCTGGCTAGCATGAAGAAATTACCCCCCATATTTCCATTCATTTTCCCTCAACATAATATTTATGACAGATTTCCAAAAAGCACAGGGCTGCAAGACTCTTGATTTCTGAGTTACTTGCTATCCCACGGAGCCACATTATGTCCCCTGCGGGGAGATTCACCATCTGACAGTAACGGTTGTCTGAGGAGGAAACATTTGGGATGAAAGCCAAAGCCAAATGGGTACTTACGGAGTCTAGGTCAGTGGTCTTCAAATTCACGTCTTTTTAAAGGTCACAGGAAAGTTCTCATCATAAATTAAAACAGCTGTACAACATAAAACTTCCAGCCCATCCTAAACATTGACATTTTAAAACAAGACCATTAAATCATTTCTTTACACATAACCAGTGAGTAATCTAACCACCTTAGCAAATTGATACTCTCTGACCCTTTTAAAAATATACACCAACAAGCTCTTCTTTAATAGATTATTTATTTCATTCTCTTTCCTTCTTGAACTCTTACTCCCAGTCCACTTCCTCCATAGAACTTTACCCTGCTCTAATATATTTTGTGTTTGAAAGCAATTTATTGATCACTCCATTATACCTCTTTGCAAGTGTTTCAGTATATTAATTGAAATTAATTTTTAAACATGTTATATGACTGAGTATTGAGTTATCACAATTATTTTTAGTACAGAATTGCTCAAAGCAATAAACACATTACAAATTGTTGATAATTACTAAACACAAAAAGTAAATTTTTTGGAATTGCATCTTCATGAGATAAATGGGGATGTTTTGTTTTCAATTACTTTATGTCTCCATATTTGAGTGTTATTATTTTTGGAATAAGACCACACTCAGCATCAATTTTCCCTGCTTACTTTTTTTTTTATTTATAAATGCTCATATTGAGAAGACTTGTTCTCATAATTAAGTAGATGTGAATGAAAGGAGTTTTAGTGAAGCATTGCCATTCAATACTCTGAACTCTTCATGGTTTTATGGCAAAATCACAGGTGATTTTTAATGATTGATTGGCTGACAGCTTGGTTGGGTACTCCTTCACTTTTATTGAAAGAAAATAATTAGATGATTTGTCATCCGGTTATTGAGTTATTCCCTATCTCATTTTCTGAGACATGTACTGAAAAGGCACGTCTTAGCAAATGATTATTAAATTACATCTGTTACTCCTTCACTTGGAAGAAACTTATTTCATATTATATACTCAAAAAGTACTTGGAAAATAGGAACATTAATTTCAGTAAATGTTTTCCAATATAATATTTTTTTTATCATTACATACTTTAAATCTATTTTTATCCAAATCTTTGAGCTGAATATTTAACTCATGCAATTTATACCAGGCTTACTTAGCTGGTAAAATCAGTTGTTGTCCAACCAGCAAGTGAAGTTAGGTTTACTTCCTGTCAAAATAAAATCTGGCTACACTTCTAGGTCAAATAAATGTTAAAATATGTTTTGAGAAATATTATGAAAACTACTGATAAATTATGGAATGCATATATTAGTGAAGATTATTAAAAGTAGACAGGGGAAGTGTAAAGCGATTTAAGTCTAATATGATTAATTATATCCAAGTAATAAAAATAATACAGTGAAATGTGTAGCTAAATATGTAAGCTATCTGTTAAGTGAGGAGTATGATTTAAAAAATGAGGTTTCTTAGTTAAATATGTTCTCGTGTGTGCAGAACTCTGGTGCTTGACTTTGGGAAATGATTAAATAATACCATGCATAAAAATAAAAAACAACTTAATTGATTTCTTTAGATACCAAACAAATATTTACTATGCATTTAATGAAAGAAAAAGTTATATAGGTTAGCATATAGTTATACATGTAAAATTAATAGTATGACAATCTAGCATATACTTTCATATATTAAATATTTTACATAATAAAATAAAATGAGGATTGGCTATATTGAAGTAAATGTTTCATAATGCATATGGGTTAAAAAAGTAGATTTAAGTATCTTATTGAATGATGAATTTAAAAAATCTGAAAAAAGATCACAAGATTTTCATGTACCAGTTTTATACAGTAAATCTTTAAAAATGTGATAGTCTCCGAAAGATTCCAGTTACACTGAAAAGAATCAGCATTGCCATTCTGTACTGTTTCATCTTCACAGAGATGCTCTTCTTTCCTGCTATCGACATATCCTAGGGACTTTTTAAAAAGCTGGAAAAATGCTTACATTTAAAGATGTGAGTGAAAGAGCCATTTTCAGCAATCTATATTCTCTGCTCTCTTAGAAGTTCTCCTTAGAGAGGGATGAACATTTGATAGTTGTTAGGAAAGGGAAAACTAGCTGTTACTCTCAGCCACACCATCTACATACAGCATACCTACATTCAGAACATCCCCACACAGGCCAGAATAATCTGGTTACAGTTCCACCCTTCACTCTTGACCTAGAACAGCAAGTCCTGGGTAAGTGTATGGAATTTGGGTTACAAGAGGGTTCCCTGAAATCACTGTAATGAAGTTTCCCTTTGCCAGGCACCCTTCTCATGATTGGCAGCTTATACCCCAAAGTATAATGATGAAGAAGAATGCAGAGAGCAAGAGATGGGAGATGCGGGAAAGAAAGACCCACATAGATATGCAGATTTGTACTTGGGAAGACACGTTAGGAAAGAGTATACTGACAAATGCAGATGTGCAAATTGATTCCTTTAAAGTAATCTGTGCTGTGTTCCCTTTGCAAAAATCTTCATGCACCTTTGATGACTTTGGTTTGATTTAGGACCACAGTCATGCTTGCATCTGTGCATCTAAATGACAAGTGAAACAGTCCAGCATCCAGATGGATCCCACTTTCCAGATGTTTGGTTTCTTACAAACATAACCTGAATCTAACCCATCCCTCTTTTTTTTTTTTTTAAGTCAACATGAAATATTTTAGGCATAGAAAAAAGAATATACAATAAATTCCCAATTATCATCCAGCTATAATAATCAACAACACATGGACATTTTTAATATATATCATCCACTTAGCCTTCCCACTTGATAATACTGAAGCAAAATCCAGGCATTATATCATGTTAATTCTAAGTATTTGGGCTTCCCTGGTAGCTCAGATGGTAAAGAGTCTGCCTGCAATGCAGGAGACCAAGGTTTGATCTCTGGGTCAGGAAGATCCCCTGGACAAGGGAATGGGAACACACTCCAGTATTCTTGTCTAGAGAATCCCATAGACAGAGGAGCCTGGTGAGCTACAGTCCATGGGGTTGCAGAGAGTTGGACACAACTGAGTAACCCAACACACACACAATTCTAATTTGTTTTTATGTATCTTTGAAAGATAAAGACTCTTTTAAAATATGTAACAATACCATTATATCACCTAAAAAAGCAATTCCTTAATTTCAAATAGCCAATCAGCAATCCAATTTTCCCCAATTGTCTCATAATTTAAAAAGAGAAGTTGGCTAGAAATTTAATCCAAACAAGGTCTACACATTATATTTCTTTATTCACTTAACCTATAGGTTCTTCCACTCTTCTTTCTTTCTTTCTTTCTTTTTTTTTTTTATTAGTTGGAGGCTTTGAGAATTTCTTTGTCAAAGAAACAAGTTATTCTTCTGGATTTTTCTGACTCCACCCTCATCCTGTCATTTAAAAACATCCTCCTTTTCATATATTTCCTGTAATCTGATATTCCAAAGACTTCATCTGATTCAGGTTGGGTATTTTGACAAAAATATTTAATAGGTGGCTTTTTGTGTGTATATTCACAGTGGCAACTGCTGATCATTTCGTTATTTCGGCAGGGACTTGAAAACCATTGGTATCCTAATTCTTATATTTCTTCTTTTTATTAACTGGAATACTTTTCAAAGAAACTTTTCTTTACCAAGTATCTGGTTACACTGAACTACTTGTTTACACAGAAGAGTACTCAGTTATTTTTTAAAAATTAATTTAAAAAATTAATGAATTTGAGATTATTCTTTTAAAGTTCATATTAGGACTCCCATACTTTTGTTAAGGGCCATCCTAAGATACAGGATTGTTTTGTTTCAGGGAAACCTAAATATTGAAATATTTATGGCATCAAGCCAGCCAACCTTTGAAAAATTATTTGACATGTGTACTGTTGTGAAATTTGGTATGTAATCTTAGTTTGGTTTCTACTCTTTTCTTATAGTCAGAAAAGTACCAGAAGGCTAGGATATACATATTCACTTAGTGATCCTATTCCTAATCAAACACAGTACAATGATGAGTATGTCTGGAAATCATATTCTAAAGAGGATTCGATCAATGTTGGGACTTCAAGAGGAATCAAGAACCACAGATTTTACCCTAGTCAGGTAAGATACTATCTACATATCTTTTGACTTTAATATTGTATCCATAATCCATAAGAATGAGAGTTTGGATATATCCCAAAGATCCTTCATCATCTACAGCTATGGTCCTTCTTAGACTATTTTTTGCTCACTTTCTCACAATTATTTCTAACTACTTCTCCTTTATCCCCCTAAATAAGAAATATTTTTTAATTAAAGTGAAATTCATGTAGCATGAAATTAACCATTTTCATGTAAACAAATCACTGGCAATTAGTGTTCATAATGTTCTACAACCACCATCTCTATCTCATTTCAAAATATTTTCATAATCCCAAGAGGAAACCCTGTACCCATTAAGAAATTACTTCCTGTTTCTCACTCCCCTAGTCTCTGGCAACTATCAATCTGCTTTCTGTCTCTATGGATGATATTCTAGATATTTTATATGTGGAATCATACCATATGTGACCTTTGTGTCTAGCTTCACACTTAGCATTGTTTAAAAGCATCATTTTCAAAGCTCACTCATATTGTAGCATCTATCAGCACTTTATTCCTTTTTATGGTTGAATAATATTCTATTGTATTTATATGCCACAATTTGTTTATCCATTTATCTATTGATGGACATTTGGGTTGTTGCCACCTTTTGGCTGCAGACTCCACCTGCAATGCAGGAGACCTCTGTTCAATTCCTGGGTCAGGAAGATATGCTGAAGAAGGGATAGGCTACCCACTCCAGTATTCTTGGGCTTGCCTGATGGCTCAGCTGCTAAAGAATCCGCCTGCAATGTGGGAGACCTGGGTTCAATCACTGGGTTGGGAATATCCCCTGGAGAAGGGAACGGCTACCCAATCCAGTATTCTGGCCTGGAGAATTCCATGGACTACATAGTCCATGGGGTTGCAAAGGGTCGGACACAACTGAGTGACTTTGACCTTTTGGCTATTATGAACAAAGTTGCTATGAACAGGCACATACAAGTATTTGTATTTGGTATCTGCATTCTCAAACCATCAGAACTTGTACTATTTTGTTTATCCAGAATGCTCTTCTCTTATCCACCAAGGTAACTCATAGGCTTCGTTTAAAAAGAGCCAGCTAGAATTCCCTTCTCCACCAAATGAAAGTGACTGACCTTCTCTCTGTTTTCTAGGTACTATGTACCCTTCTCCCATCATAAAAGGCAACGCTCAATTGTAGTAAGATTTCATTTATTGGGTTGCCACATGGCATGGTGCCGCCTGGGATGGAACCACCTGGACATGTTCAATGGGTAATAAGGTAGTAGAATTTGATGGTCAGGCCAGTAGAATTTAAGGTCAGGATTTGATGACTGCAATGATATAAAAGACAAGGTGGCAGTGAATGAAGGATGCTGTTCCTGTTTTTTACTTGGATGGCTGGGTCTGTGCTGATGCTTTTTACTGAACTGGAACTTTCGGGAGGACCAGGTTTGGTGGGAAAGGGTTTAGGGGAAATGTGAGCTCAGTTGAAGACATGTTGGGTGAGAATATGTCCAATAGGCAGTTGAATGCACAAATCTGTGACTTGAATGGAAAAGGTGAGCTTTAGATGTAGACTTTGGACTCATTAGAACACATACACATGCCCCATTTAACTTGGTTCCTCATGGCACCCACATATAATCTATTTACCTCTTAAGTATTTTCCTGAAGATTTATAATTAACGTAAAATAGTTACAATATTACACTATATATGTATACACATGACATACACATACATACTGAACAGCATTTATTTTCCCTTTAAGTGTTATTGAAGGCTCTCAACAAATGACAGCTGGGGTGACAGGGTGTCCTGCACTGTCTCAACCAATGAGAGCCAGAGTGGGCGGGTTCTGTGCTGTCTAAGCCAATGAGTGTTCCTCTGCCAGCCTGTAGACTCTCCCATCACCTAAGTTGAGGATCTATTGCATTATTTACTCTTCTGAGGCCTCTCTGCAGTTTTTGGCCCATCATTTTGCTTCACATCCCACATTCTATGCATCGGGAAACCTTATTTACCTATAAAATATATTTAAATATGATCACGTCTCCCAGTCATATTTTCTTGCCCTCCACATGAAAAGTCAAAGAAATGACAAAGCTCCATGTTATAACTGGGTCAGATGATAGCTCTGCAAGACACTGCAGCTTCAATGTGGTAGCTGGGTGTAAAGAACTCAAAAGAATGTGTATACAAAAACACTTCCCAGGTGGCACTAGTGGTAAAGAACCCACCTGCCAATGCAGGAGATGTAAGAGACTTGGGTTTGATCCCTGGGTTGGGAAGATCCCCTGGAAGAGGAAATGGCAACCCATTCCAATATTCTTGCCTGGAGATCCTATGGACAGAGGAGCCTGGCGGGCTACAGTCCATGGGATCACAAGAGTTGGACACGACTGAAGCGACAGCACATACATACGAAAACACACGTGTTCTTCATTCCATGAGGTGAAACCCTGTGGATTTTCTTGAAAATTGTGTTTGTATCCATAGGACTTCTTTCTCTGGACACTACCTCAATCGACAACCTCAGTAAAAAGCTACTTTCCTTGGAAAATTGCTGCATCGATGGAAGAGGTTCGGAAGGCAATAGGAAATCAGTTTATTTCCATCACAAAGAGAGACTTTGTGGACCGATCAAAGGGTAAACGTCCATTTTTCTCCTTTTCCCTGGTTAAATGTTGGGGACCAGAGTCTCCATGGTGAGCAACACAGATGTGGTCTCTTCCCTCAAGACACTCACGGTATAGATGTGGAGAAAGGCAATTTTGCAAACAAAAGTTGACCTAGTGAGCACCTATAAAAAGGTGCACGTTGTGGGAAATGCAGGGTCCTGTGGATGCACAGTAGGACATTCAGCCTGACACTGGAGGAAGAGGTCAAGAAAGGCTTCTTGGGTCCAAAGGACAAAGACAAGCCAGGAGAAGATGATGGGGTTGAGTTAAGCCTGCTGTCTTCAATTAGTTACTGCTCGTTTACCATTTTAAAAACACTTATATTAAAATTCCTTTTATTAAACTGATATGTGCATAGAGTGAATCTAATAGTTACCTAAATGCTCACAGTGAAACAGCAATTCCCTAACTCCTCCCCCATCCACTCTCGGTCCTACTCCCACTATCAATTTCCATCCTTTCAACTATTTATTCTTATGGGATCCTCCATATTTTAAAATCATATACCTCACACTACTATTTCTGATTCCTCAGTCTTAGGCGTTATGATTGACTTCAGTTATAGTAACTGAGGATGTGGTCCTCCTACAATTCTTTCTCAAGTCCCCTCCATCCATCCTCTCAATATAATTATATTACAAATTTGGAGTTAATGCACTTGTTAGTGTTTATATTATAATTATGATCATATGATATATTATAATTATGTTAACACTGCTTGGGCTTCCCTGGTGGCTCAGTGGTAAAGAATCCATCTGCCAAAGCAGGAGGCATGAGTTTGACCCCTGGGTCAGGAAGATCCCCTGGAGAAGAAAATGGCAGCCCACTCTAGTATCCTTGCCTGGAAATCCCATGGACAGAGGAGCCTGGCAGACTATAGTCCATGGGGTCGCAAAGAGTTGGACATGACTTAGAGACTAAATAGCAGCAACAACAAACACTGCTGAGCCAAATGATATTTTATGGGTATGTTTCCTTTTAGTTCTCTTTTGCTCTTTTTTACCATAGTTAATAATTATCTCTTTTCAGATGCTTAGTTTCCTATGTGCCTGTCGCACTCACTGAATCCGTTTTTACCTGGTCCAACATCTCAGTGCATCACCTTCTGCTGTGCCTGGTGTCCCTGGATCCAGAGCTGCTTTGGTTCAGTTTTGCCCCAAGAACCTGGCTAAGAAGGGTAATCATGTGACTACCATGAGGTTAAGAAGGTGATCCAGGGAATTCTAACCACTCTGTATCCAAGTTTTGACCAAGGTCACCTATTTTCCACCCTGAGCCCCCATATCAATAGCCTTCCACTGAACCAATTCCCTGACTTTGAGCCTGCTGGAGTTTTGCTGTGTGGATTAGCTCACATTTTTGTTAACCCCTTCTGCAGTCCCTTCATTTCAGCTTTCTCTACTTTGCTAACTCAATTGCTGCATGTCTATTTGGTTTCCATCTTCTAAAAATGTGTTAACCTCTCCAGTCTCCTCTCAGTATGGTCAAGTGCAGGGAGGGAGGAGTCATTTGCATGGATACCATCCACTGGGTTTCATAGGAAGCACTGCTAATTCTTTTACTTCCAAAGCCTTCCAATCTGGTCTCTGCCCCCATCTGGTAACTGAAGCTACTCTTGTCAACATGTCGAATAACCTGGCAGCATGAAATGCCGGTGGCCACTTGCTCCTTCTTGAAACTCTCTTCCTTTGGACTTCTGTGACACCACACTCTCCTGGTTTCTGCTACTTTGTCTCCTTCTTTTTTTGGTCTTTTTTTTCTACTTGACCTCTAACAGAGTTCCTTTGAGTTCCTGGTTCCTTTATAAAAGCAACTCTCCATCATCCTGAGGATTTCTGCATTTGTATCTCTTCCCCAAGTCCTTCCTTGGGCCCCTGATTTTGTGTATTGGGGGGTCAAGTAGAGGCCTCATTAGGGTTCCAAGTCATCACCTTCTTCTTTCCCTAGCACTGAACTTCCTGTGTCATCTACAGACCCCTGCAATTCCATTGCCACATGGCAGTCAGAGGCTCTTTCACAGTCTAAACTGGATCGAATACTTCTACTGCTTCTTTTCACTGTCTTCCTTTGCACTTTGAATAAAATCCATGGTCCACTTCCTTCTCCTGGTTCACAAGACCCTGCAAGCCTGTCCTGGCCCTTGCTTTCCTCTTCACTCCATCCCTCTCGTTCACTAGTCTGCAGCCACATGAGCCTTTTTTCAGTTCCTTTAAGATCGCAACCTCTTTCCCACCATCGGTCAGCACTCAGCCTGTACCCTCTGCCTGAAAGGCGCAGTTTCATTTTGTCACTCTCTTGACTCCAGCTTAAATGTCACCTTGCCTGTGAGACCTTTCCTAAATTTATCTGAAGAGGCGTGCTGTCATCTTGCTTGTCTGTCGCCTTTGCATTCTGCAGTCATTTGTTGACTGATTCTTGTTTCCTGTTCTTGGTGATTTACTTTTTCCTCTACTACTCAGTATGCCCCCCAAAGTTCTTATTCACTTAGGACCTAGTACAGTATGTAGCCTCATTCCCTGTAAATATTTGTTGAGTGATGGAGAGAATGTTTCGGAAGTATACTTTCTGAAGCTGGATGGGAACAGAATCCAAAAGACCTCCATACTTTCAGATAAAGGGTCATGGAAAAACATCTGAAATGTCAGCATTCTTAAAAGATGTCTTTGAGCTTCCAATTAGAGTTGTGCTTTCTGCAAGCACGAATTACCATTTCCCCATGTGTGGATAAATACCCCAGACCTGTCAAGACTCCCTCCTAAATCTCTCACCTCCATCTGCTTCTTTCCCTCCCCACGGCCACTGCCTTATCCAGGCTATCATCATCTATCTCTTGGATGACCTCTAGTCCACTCCCCTCTCCAACTCTGTCTCCTCAAGTTCGTGTCCACACTAGGGTCATAGTAAGTTTCCAGATGTGCCAATTGACATCACTTTCCAGCTTAAAACCCTTCAGTGATATCTCCCTCCCCTTTATCCCCAGGATAAAAGCTAAGTGCCTTAAGGTGAGTGCTGTATAATCTGGTCCTTGCCCACCCCCACAGCGTCCTCCAGCCTCCACGACTGCCCCCTACCCTCCAGTTGTACAATGCCTCCTGTAACCTTGTGCTCTTTGCCCTCTGCCTCTTCTGTGTGAAGACCTCTCCCTCCTTTTATTTTTAGCCTATCTCTGTCCAGGTGTGCTCAGTCACTCATTCCTGTCTGACTCTTTGCAACCCTATGGACTGTAGCCCTCCATTCCCCTCTGTCCATGGGATTTCTCAGGCAAGAAGAATACTGGAGTGGGTTGCCATTTCCTCCTCTAGGGGATCTTCCTGACCCAGGGATCAAAGCCATGTCTCCTGCAGCTCTTGCATTGGCAGACAGTTTCTTTACTACTGAGCCGCCTGGGAAGCCCTATCTCTGTCCATAATTGAAGTCTAAATGTAAACTTCATTTCTCTCCCAGGAGTCTTCTCTGATCCCCCAGATTTGGATCGGTGCCCCTCCCATGTTTTTGTAGCTCCTATTCTTCCCTCTTCCACAGCATTTATCAAAAAATATTGTGATTCCCTTTTATGTATCTGTTTCTCTAATGCTTTAAGCTTCTGAAACACAGAGACTGTGTCTTATCTTTGAATCCTCATTATTGAATTAAGGCCAATGAGTGAGAAGCAGTAAAAGGGGCTTGTTTACACATTCAGGCTTGAGAACTTGGCTTTGATGAATTAGAACAGCAGAACTAGCTTTCACCTGCCTATAGAGTAAGTGCCCATGGTCTTAGTAGTTTTGAACAGTCCTTGCTGTAGATTCGCAGGGGCCTTTCTGCAGCCACCATGTGCTATGTGTGCTAAGTTGCTTCAGTCGTGTCCAACTCTGTGTGACTGCATGGACTGTAACCTGCCAGACTCCTCTGCCCATAGAATTCACCAGACAAGAATACTCAAGTGGGTAGTTATTTCCTTCTCCAGAGGATCTTCCCCACCTAGGGACTGAACGTCATGTGCTGTGTTTAGTTGCTCAGTCATGTCTGACTCTTTGCAATTCCATGGACTATCTCAAAGGGGCAGTTTCTCCCTTTGGACTATAACTACTCTGGTATCACCTTTGTGAAAGTGTGAAAGTATTAGTTTCTCAGTTTTGTCTGACTCTTTGTGACCCCATGGACTGTAGCCCACCAGACTCCTCTGTCCATAGAATTCTCCAGGCAAGGATACTGAAGTGGGTAGTCATTTCCTTCTCCAGAGGAATTTCCTCACCCATGGATCGAAGCTGGGTCTCCTGCATTGCACGTGCATTCTTTATCAACTGGGCCACCAGGGAAGCCCTATCGCCTTTACCAACTGGAAAAGAAAACCAGTGGGAATTGGTCTCCTGAGGCGCAGGGATAGTCCCTCGGGGTGGGGTTGACATTGGGTCAGGTTATCTTCTCTGTTGGGAGGACTTCAGCAACATTACGGCTGCACTTCAGCACTCATATGGTGTTCCTCAGATCCTTCTGTATCAGGAATTTCTCCCAATAGTGCCGAAGGAACTCATTTTTAGGAAATTTTATAAAGACTATAAAACCATTAGTTAAGGATTAAGAACTAAGAGTTACTGTAAGCATATATCATGTAGGCAGTCACTAGAGTGTGGTTCAGATTAATTACTAATACATAGCGATTATGTTTCTTTTTTCTCTTTTGTTCACTCAATTTAGTAAATATTTAATGAGGTCTATTATGGTGATATGTACTAAGGATCAATGAAGACTTACTCTGCCTCTTCAAAGGAACTCAGAGTAAATCCGGAGCCTGATTTTTGTCATTTCTGGGTCTTCATCTCCAGTTGCTCTACTTGTGGACAAGTCTCTCAAGACCCTTCTCAGTGTGGATCCTAACCTTCCCCTCCTGCTTCACCCTCAGCTACTGCTCCTCCCTGCCCTGCATTCTTCACCTTCACACCAGTTAGACTGCATTTGATGATTGCACCACCCATTTTAGCTTCAGTGCTGAACATTCGTCAAAACACACCTTTTTCTGTGTCTGCCTTTCTTTTTTTATTTTTAATTGAAGGATAATTGCTTTACAGTATTGTGTTGGTTTCTACCAAACATCAACATGAATCAGCCATAGGTTTACCCGTGTTCCCTCCCACTGTATCTGCCTTTTGATTCTTGTCTTCCTTCCACCTCTGGGTTTCTTTTCTTTTCCTTTTTTTAAAGATTTTTCATGCGGACTGTTTTTAAAGTCTTTATTGGATTTGTTACAATATTGCTTCTGTTTTTTATGTTTTGGGGGTTTTTTTGGCCATGAGAAATGTGGGATCTTAGTTTCCTGACTAGGGATCGAACCTGCACTCCCTGCATTGGAAAGTGAAGTCTTAACCACTGGGCCACCAGAGAAGTCCCTCCCTCTGGGCTTCTGTAGAACCTTATCCAAAGCTTGGAGTCAGTGATTCTTAAGCATATGGGAAGCTTGTTCACAATATAACTGCCTGGGTCCCTCCCACATCTAGAAATTCTCCATGTCTGGGATGAGGTTCAGCAGGTATATTTTGGCATAACCTTCCTAGGTAATTCTGATGTATTATCTCCATTTGTTACAGTTGCAAGATATTACATTCTGTATCTGTGTCTCCTGTCTATCTCTTTCTCATCACACTCATTTGAGGTTGTCAAGGTAGGACACCCCATGGACGGAGGAGCCTGGTAGGCTGCAGTCCATGGGGTCATGAAGAGTCAGACATGTCTGAGCAATTTCACTTTCACTTTTCACTTTTATGCGTTGGAGAAGGAAATGGCAACCCACGCCAGTGTTCTTGCCTGGAGAATCCCAGGGATGGGGTCGCACAGAGTCGGACACGACTGAAGTGACTTAGCGGTAGCAGTAAGATAGAACAATGACTTCATTATCTTTAACTTTGGCACAGAACACATGTAGGAACTGAAAGCATTTGCTTTTGAGTGGTAGCTAGGGAAAAGGGATAGACATCTGCAAAAAATGGGAATTTGTTTGTTAATAAAGCTATTAGTAATTCACAAAAACGAAACTATATAGATGGTGCTTGCTAGCAACAATACCAGACAGTTGTCCAAAATATCTTAAGGAGTGTCCTGATTTTGGAGCCCTAGAGTTTTCTCCTCTCTATAACCTTGTCTTCTCGGGTGGTTTATGAGGTCATTATGAGGGCCATTGAGCACCCATGTCCTCTTCTCCCTGTGACATCTAAATTAAGAGACACCATATAGTAAAACCCTTTCCCTCTGTGCTGTTCTGGACGGAGATCATTCTTTAAAAAATCCATATTAAACTGCTCTTGGGTGCCAGTAGATGACATCACATATTGCTTGATATACAATGTACATTGGAGTCTATTTTGAGAAGACCTATTAAAAAACTATTTTGGAAGAAGAATCAAGGTTAGAGTCAGTAGTAATTAGCACTGTTGTGACGTTGCTCATGATATGCCTGTTTTTAATATTTTTGTTCTGATTAAAGCTGATGTTGTGTGATGTGCCTCTGAACCAACATTTTGTAGCAAGAATTAGGGGTGAGCTCATTCTAAGTGAGATGACATGATTCTCTCCTTTGTTAATCTGGCAATGCTTGTGGAACCTGGCTTTAGCTAGTACATCAGAGGTTTTAATGATCATATTAGTGAATATTTCTTAGCAGAGTTATTTCCAAAAACAACACTACTATGACCCACTAATAGCAATGATCTGGCCTAACCCTCCATCAGTAAGGCCCTTTTTCAAGTGGTTCTTTTCCAGGTAATGGGGATGATGTGTACTGCCTATCTAAGTTTGCTGAATTGAGCAAATAAAAATACAACATGCTCAATTAAAACTGATTAATGATATTGCGTTAGCAGCTCAGTTGTGTCCGACTCTTTGCAATCCAATGGATTGAAGCCTGCCAGGCTCTTCTGTCTATAGGATTTCCCAGGCAAGAGTACTGCATTTGCAGGCAGATGCTTTACTATCTGAGCTACCAGGGAAGTCTTAATAACAGGTAAAAAATAAGTACTTATACAGACACAAAAAATTATTCATTATCTGAAATTCAAATTTAACTCCATATTTCCATTGCAAGGGCCTTGTGTAGCAACAAAACAGCAACTACAACAAATTTAACTGAACTCCTATATTTTATGTGGCAACCATAGCCCTATCTAAAATATCTCACTCTGCTTCCTAACCCCAGCCCCAGGGCATAGGCAGGACTACTGGAGTGAGGCATGCTTTCTGAGTCCATGAAGCAGAAACAAAAGAACACTCCTAACTGATGAACAGTATATTCATTAGAAACTACTTCTGATCATTTTAGCCTATGCTTCCTGTGCCTGATAAAGCAGAAAATTATTTCTTGGTTGAAACGTCCATAAAAAGTACATTGACCATACCTCTAAATGTAAGAAGAGAGGGTTCTGAGTGTGATAAATTGGAAGCTACTGCCAGAAGCAAAATGGAATGAAAATATGATGTTATTTAGAAACACTTCACAAGGAGTAATTATTGCCTTCCATTTGTACCTTCTCCCCAGATCCAAAGGATAAACAGCGTTCTCAGATGTTTCTGGAATGGAAAAAGTTAGTTCCCCGACCAGCAGACACAGAATTTAGAAGGAATTACCAAATTCCAGCTAAAATTCCTGAGTTACAGGATTTTAGTTTCAAATACGGATGCTACTCAAGCCTACCCATTGCTTCTCAAGGTCTAGGTGAGTACATCTGTAGCTTTTTAAAACAATTTTGTAGACTGTTCTTATTCCGAGATTCCTCAATACTTCCCACAACACATCTGTGGGACCTGGCGAGTCCCACAAATAAAGGCTGGGATTCTCTGCTCAGTGACAGCTTCTTGGCCTCCCTTCCCATGCGTCTCTCTAGTCCCTTCTGTGCTGTATAGCCACATGAGGAGCCAGGAGCGTACGAAGAAGCAGTCCATTTACCAAAGTGATTACGGGAAAGCCTACCTGGATTTCTTGACGATTCTGAACTCATTCAGCCCCTCTCAAGTCACAGAGTACCTTCAGGGTGTTTCCTACAAAGGTAAGATGAGGTCTCAAGTTACTATTCGATAAATTACAGATCATAATAATGTGTGGCTTTCCACCAAATAGAAATTTTCCCAACTTCTAGCCCCTGGTGTTCAATAGATATGTAGGTGAACACAAAAAGGTGGCACAGTGGTAAAGAATCCACCTGCCATTGCAGGAGGTGCAAGAGATGCAGATTCAATCCCTTGGTCAGAAAGATCCCCTGGAGGAGGGCTTGGCAACCCACTCCAGTATTCTTGCCTGGAGAATCCCATGGACAGAGGAGCCTGGAGAGCTACAGTCAATGGGGTCACAAAGTGCCAGACATGACAGAGAACGCATGCAACATATACAGTTTTGTGTAAACCTCAACCTATTGAAAATAATTTTTTCTTCCAAGAGGCCCCAGTGAATATATCCCCACTTATTAAAAAGAAAACATCTAGCTTTTCACTTCTGATCTCACTTTGCTGTGGTTGAACTGCTCCAGGTCGACTTCTCTTTTTCTTATGGTTAATTGATTTCTCCAGTGGAAGTCTGTACTCTCTCATAGCTTTGTTTTAGTTTGTGTAATCTTTATTCCTCTTTGGTGTTTTTCTGTGTGTGTGTGTGACAGTCTTCTTAGGGTACATGCAAATCTTCATGTATCTCATCCTCAAAGAGATAAATGTCATTCAGGACTGGTTGGGTCACTTTCTAGGACACATATTCCTATATCACCAAACTAACATGTTACGTACATTGTAAAACATTCAAAGTTAAACGTGAGATCACAAAAACAAATGCCAGCTTAGGTGGAGAGTAACTCAGGTGCGCGCGCGCGCACACACACACACACACACACACCCTGCACTCTAGCCCTCCAGTGGCATTCGTCACACTGAACACAGGACAGGTAACATCACTTGCATTCTTCCTTTCTCTTAGTTCTGGCCTCACAGATGGTAATTTCTAGGAGTGACAAAGCTTTACAGCTCCACCATGTACAATCTAAAAATATGTAATTAGAATTAAGGGACCATAGATGTTCATAACCAGACAAGACTCCTTCAATTTCCAGATGAGGAAATGGAGGCTGGGGAGCGAGGGGCCTCCCATGGTCAGTTATCACTCAAAGACTGCAAAGCCTACCAATACTGGTGGGCAGAAAAGCAACCCTGGCTTTCATGAAACTTTTGGAACAATAGTCTCTATTGTTTTGTTTATCATCACATCACCCAGAACAAGCATGGTCTAGGTGCTTCACATATAGCACTCTTCATCCATTCCAACAACTGTGCTAGGTAAGTATCAGTACCTTGATTCAGAGATGAGGCAACGAATAAATAGAGATGACAGACGTATGCCATTTGTGCTCAGTCGTGCCTGATTCTTTGCAACCCCAAGGACTGTAACCTGCCAGACTCCTCTGTCCAGGGAATTTTCCAGGCAAGAATACTAGAGGGGCTGCACAGAACTAAAGCCTAAGTCTATTTCATTCCACAATCCACGCTCTTTCCAGGAAGTCTTGCTGATCCCTTGAATATTGTTTGCTCTTTTTAGTCAATAATTACATTCAAGAGATGTTGAATATTGAAGAGTCTTTTTAGCTATTAGACATAATAGCTTTGACTATCGTGATTCTTTTGATCTCATTGAATGCTTTTTAGAGTACTACTGTCGGGTATTTGTCTACTTATAAATTTCTCTATTTAGCCCTGAAATAGTTAAGTGGAAAATTTCATCCTGTTTTTCTTCATAATTTTCAGAAAGGCAGATTCTTGATCGCTTTTTTTGCTCTTACTGTGATATGGGCCAAAGAATGGATAAAAAAGAACAATAGTTCAAATGAAGAACATCTGAAAATAACTGAGTTCTTTTCTCAATAATCAAGAAAAAATAAGATCCAAATTGTTCTGAATTATAATTTCATCATGACTTTGTGTAATTTTGTTTTATTTTTAAACAATAAAATCATTTAAGGCTGAAAATCATCACTTGCCTCCCAACCTATTCCCACCCAATTTTAACTGTATCCAGTGAGTTTTGATGTAATGTTTTCTCACCATTCTTTTTTGGATACTTACTTTGTGTCTTCAATTCTGGTTTCCTCTTTGAACCAGGAATTATGTGGAAGAGGTTTCTTAATTTTTCAATTATCAGGGGATTAAAAAATTCATTATTGTTGATTTCGAATTTGAAAGTTAAAAAACAAATCTCTGCTTTGGGAAAATTAGCAAACATTTTTTATGCCAAGTATAAGAATGATTTGTGTATTACATGAATAGCAGAAGAAAAAATGTATAGTTAATTATATTTTTAAGCCACTTCTTTGTCTTAATTGTATATTTTAACTGTCATATTTTGAGGCAAAAATATTAAAAAAATTCCACAATGGAAGTGTTTTCATCAATGTCTCCTAGTATTTCTGGGATTTTTGCTATGTATTTTTGGCTCCTATGTTTTTTATTAGTGCTTATGACTTACACAGAGCTCCTTCATTTTCCTATTACATGTTGTTCTTCTTTGACCGTGTTAATGGTTTTGACCTTGAATTATGTTTTTTATGTATATTCATATTGCCACTCATCTGGGTTTGTTTTTTTTTTCTGTGCATTTACTTAATTCTAAATTTCTCTTTTTTTTTTTTTTGCTGTTTCTGTCTTTCTTGGAGCACTGGGGACTGTAGCTGTGGCCCACGAGTAATTTCATATGGATTCTCTCTCAGTTTAGTGTTTGCAGTGGGACTTCCTGTCCTCCCAGCACTCTCCAGAGTATGGCCCATATTCCGTCAGGATCTTAAACCAAATATTAAACATTGAAGAGCCCTTTTTTCAATGAATAGTTATTGAACACCTCTTATGTGCCAGGCAGGGTTGTAGATCTTGGGGATACACTAGTAGTGAAAGACATACATGGAGCTTGCATTGTGGAGAGAGGGAGAGATCATAAACAAGTGAAAACGAACAGGAGAATTACGAAGTGTAGGTGCTACACACAGCATCGGGCTTCCCTGGTCGATCAGATGGTAAAGAATCTGTCAGCAATGCAGGAGACCTGGGTTTGAGTCCTGGGTCAGGAAGATCCCCTGGAGAAGGAAATGGCAACCTGCTCCAGTAATCTTGCCTGGAGAATTCCATGGACAGAGGAGCCTGGCAGGCTACAGTCCATGGGGTCACAGAAAAGTCACACATGACTGGGCAACTAAGCATGCACGCACACACACAGTGTAAGCAGTATTGTGATAGTCCAAGGCTCCTATAAAGAGGCCTGGTTTAAGCTGACCCATTAAGAAGAGGAAGGGCCAGCCATGCCAAAAGATGAGCAATAGCTTTCCAGGCTTGGGGAACAGCAAGCCATCCAAGTAGGAAATATCTTGAAGTGTTTCTTGAAGTGTTCTGGAAAGAGTCAGAAGGCAGAGTGGCTGAAGCATAGTTGGCTGGGGACCAGGCAGGGGGTCGTCAGATGAAAGAGGTCTAGGAGGCAGGAGTCAGATCATGGATGGAGAGAGAGTCATTGGCTCTTGACAGCATGGGCTCTCTTGTTCTAGCTTGTGTGTCCCAGAATAGTCAATAAACTTATGCTAGTACAAGCTGTGTATCCCTGTGAACACGGTTTGGTTTTATGTTAACCCACTTCCTCAGACTGTGCTAACAAAGCTTCGCCTGAAGCTGAAGGTTTCATCTCTTCAGACACGTTATAGCTGGACCTTCAGCTTTCCACTGTCCTCCTTTCCACAAAGGTCCATCGAGTCAAAGCTTTAGTTTTTCCAGTAGTCATGTATGGATGTGAAAGTTGGATTTAACAAAAAAAAAAAAAAAAAAAAGGCTGAGTGCCGAAGAACTGATGCTTCTGAACTGCGGTGTTGGACAAGACTCTTGAGAGTCCCTTGGACTGCAAGGAGATCAAACCAGTCAATCCTAAAGGGAATCAATCCTGAGGATTCATTAGAAGGACTGATGCTGAAGCTGAAACTCCAATACTTTGGCCACCTGATGCTAAGAGCCAACTCATTAGAAAAGACCCTGATGCTGGGAAAGATTGAAGAGAGCTCCAGCCCCTGGAAGTCCCAGATGGGATCACTGACCTCTTTTTTTAATTTTTTTTTGCCAAGTTGACTGGCTTCTGGAATCTTAGTTCCCCAACCAGGGACTGAACCTGGGCTCTCAGCAGTGAAAGCGCAGAGTCCTAACCACTGGAGTGCTAGTGAATTCCTGATCTTTGACTTCTTAAATGAATTTTTTTTTTAATTTATAGATATTAAATTTGACTCATTGTGCTGTGACGTTATATGGGCTTTTACAAAAGCATGGTATCATGTGCTTATTACGGTATCATACATAATAGTTTCTCCACCCTAGAATATCCCCTACCTGCACCTAATCGACCCTTCTCCCAAATCTCCCTTTACTTCTTCGGAGGTAGTTTTGGTAGTCTAAGGGCAGCACAGGCAAGAAAAGCCTATATCACCTCCATTGCCAGCAGCAGATAACCTGCTGGCAGACAACCAGATGGGTTGCCATCCATGTGGCTGGAGACAGGAAAGCATCCTGCCTCCAGAACTGCAGAACAGGCAAGTGACTGCCACTCTAGAACCACAAATGCTACTTAAAAGCACAGTATTGGGATGTACTATTTGATAGACTTTTTCTCTGGGCACCGTGGTAAACTGAAGTATCACCCCCCATTTCTTCATGTCTCCCTGTCTCCAGACTCTTGGCTATGTAACTTTGCAACCCCTCCTACTAAAGATGGGAGATGTTTCCCCAGACTTTGACTATGAATTTAATCATGTGACTCGCTTTAACCAATGAGATGTTAGCAGACCTAAGTTCTGGCTGAGGTGTGGAGAGGAGAGCTGCTGATATGGTCTGTTTGCATCTTCCCAAGATTCTTCTGAAAATGATTGCAGCCACAGAATTAAAAGACACTTGCTCCTTGGAAGAAGAGCTATGACAAACCTAGACAGCTTATTAAAAAGCAGAGATGTTACTTTGCCAACAAAGGTCCGTCTAGTCAAGCTTTAGTTTTTCCAGTAGTCATGTATGGATGTGAGAGTTGGACCATAAGAAGGCTGAATGCTGAAGAACTGATGCTTCTGAACTGTGGTGTTGGAGAAGACTCTTGAGAGTCCCTTGGACAGCAAGGAGATCAAACCAGTCAATCCTAAAGGGAATCAATCCTGAAGATTCATTAGAAGACTGATGTTGAAGCTGAAACTCCAATACTTTGGCCACCTGATGCTAAGAGCTGACTCATTAGAAAAGACCCTGATGCTGGGAAAGATTGAAGGCAGGAGGAGAAGGGGATGACAGAGGGTGAGATGGTTGGATGGCATAACTGACTCAATGGACATAAATTTGAGCTAGCTCTGGGAGTTGGTGATGGACAGGGAAACCAGGCGTGCTGCAGTCCACAGGGTCGCAGAGTCAGACATTATTGAGCAACCGAATGACAACAACAAAGATTCTTCTATTGGAATCCTAATCCCCAAAGTGATGGTATTAGGAAGTGGGACCTTTGAAGGTGACTAGATCTTAAGGCAGAGCCCTCATGATTGGCATTAGTGCCCTTATAAAAGAGACCCCAGAGAGCTCCCTTCTGCCACACAAGACACGCAGAGAAAAGATGGCTATCTGAACCAGAAAGTCCTCACCAAACACTAGACCTGTTCATGCTGTGATCTTGGCGCTTCCAGCCTCCAGAACTATGAGAAACAAATGTTTATTGCTTAAGAACTGCCCAGTTTATGATGTTTTGTCATAGCAGTCCAAATGGACTAATACAGCTACCCTAGCTGATCTACCTTTGTGACCCACAAAGTGAGAGAGAAATGCTTTCTTTTGCACGCCATTGAGATTAGCATTGCAATGGCTAACAGTGGCGCTAGTGGTAAAGATTCTGCCTGCCAATGCAGGAGATGCGAGAGACTCAAGTTCCATCCCTGGGTTGGGAGGATCCCCTGGAAAAGGAAAAGGCAACCCACTCCAGTATTCTTGCCTGGAAAATTCCATGGACAGAGGAGACTGTTGGGCTATAGTTCTTGGGGTCATGAAGAGTCAGACATGACTTTGAGCGCACACACACACACAGAGGTAACTGAAGGGGTCACGGTATTTATTTAGATGAGGCTTCTCTGAAACCCTCAAAATGAAAAGCTTGGTAGAATCCATTTTCCCTCTTAAAAATATTAAATCTGATCACCACTGACACATGTGCTTAAATAGAGATTGTTTTTTTAAGACAGGAGAGTATGGTTGTGGTCCTCTCATATTTTAAAATCTGTGAAGGCATTTTAAACCTTGAACACTACAAAAGTTCTCATGCGGCCAGCAGCCACTGCTTATTCTAATGCACCAAAGGATGTGAAAGAGTGCTTTAGTATGGTTCCTTTTTTCAGAGCAGATTGTCAAGACAGATCAGTCAATGTACATGATGTGAGTTAATTATGTAGCACCATTACCTTCACTATTGTATTTCAAAGAGAGCAGTATTTCAACACAGAAAATGATTCTGAAATTTTTTCTCTTGTAGTATCCCTTGATGGCTCTTTTGATTCTCTTTCTAACCTCCTGCAAACCTCACTACCCGCCTCCAGCTACATACATACACATCCAATCCAAAAAAGTATATATAGCAGATTTCCGTGCTTTCCCAAAACATCCATTCTTTGTTTTTAACCTCTTGAAAAAGCTGCTCTATAAATAAGTTTAAACTTGTTCTGTTTCGTTAAAAAATGCTTTCACAAATAGAAGAGTAGAAAAATAATACTACTTTCTGAAGACAGGACTTCCCTGGCTGTCCAATGGTTAAGACTCTGTGTTCCCAGTACAGGGGACAGGGGTTTGATCCTTGGTCCAGGAACTAGACCTGGCATAGCCAAATAAATAAATGTGTTAAAAATAATAAAGTGGGTTTCATATATGTATAATGAAAAGTGAAAGTCACTCAGTCATGTCCGATTTTTTGTGACCACACGGACGGCAGCCCTCCAGGCTTCTCTGTTCATGGGATTCACCAGACAAGAATACTAAAGTGGTTATACATTCCCTTCTCTAGGGAATCCTCCCATTCCAGGGATTGAACTCTGGTCTCAGGCATTGCAGGCAGATTCTTTACCATCTGAGCCACCAGGGACGTCAATGTCATACAAGATCCTCAGAAATGAAACAGTAATGTGAGAGTGATCACTGATATCTTAACTGTGATCATACCAAAGCTGCATTTGGTAAAGATTTTTTAAAAATCACTAACAAAAAGCAGGAAATGGACCATATTATAAGAAAGAAAACTATTTCGGTAACCTAACAGGTAAAGTCTTCAAAACCAAACATTTTGAAAGCTTTTGTAAGTATATTCAAAGGTGGCACAATTTTCAAAAAACAACTACATAATACCTAAATCCAAGATACTGAAACTTGGTATTTAGTATGCTTAAGGTAGTCAAAAGATGTTGAAATCTATTAAGTGGCTTAATATCTGTGGCCATCCAGATAATGAAAATGAAAGCTAAGCATTATTAATGTTAATCAACTTTCCAAACATCATCTTTATAAGCACTTCCTAGTAGACACCAACAAGCCNCAGTATCCTTGCCCAGAGAATCCCATAGACAGAGGAGCCTGGCAGGCTACAATCCATGGGGGCTCAAAGAGTCAGACACCACTGAAGTGACTTAGCATGCAAGATGATAAGACAACATTTTTAATACTGGAGTTGTTTTCCTCTTTGTTCACTCTCTGGTATTGTCCCCCCACCCCACCTCCCAGCTTCATGTTAGCATCAATTACCTTCTCGTGTGATGGGATTAACACACCTGGGGAGGAGGGGAGAGAGGAGGAATGTACCCAGGTACTCCAGTTACAAATCCAGGCACAGTGAGGCGCAAGCCAGCACCACAGGTACAGCTCATCAGCACTGGCTGCTCCCAGCAAGAAAGTAGCAAGATTTTCTTCACCTGGCATCCCTCTGATCGTCAGTAATTGCCCTTGGGGGCCAAGCAGACATCATTCTAATCAGTACAGGAGTCCCTGGCAGGTT